CGGGGTGTGAGGGAAGAGAGGTCGGGGTGTGAGGGAAGAGAGGTCGGGGTGGGGGCGGGGGCTGCGGTTAGGCGCGTAGCCTCCGTTCCGTCCGGCACAGGCTCGGTGAGCGGGCAGCGAACGAGGCTGTCCCGTCGTCTCAGGACGGCCGCCGCCCGTCGCTCGCTAGCGAGGAAGGCGATAGGCTCCCAGTGGCTGCGCATCCTCCGCGGGGAGAGGAGGGACCGGGGCGGCTCCAGCAGCGGGAGGAGGGCGGGAGCAGTAGAGAGAAGCGCTCCGCCCAGCTCCCGGAGGAGACAGTTCTCACAGAAGGGGTGTCGAGGGGAAGCGGGGTTGAGTGCAGTCGTTTTTTTGTTGCGCTGTCGAAACAGCCGAGCACCAAGGGCGAGAGGAAGAGAGGGATGGACTCCGCTCCGTCAGATGCTGGCTTGAATTCTCCATTGACTTGTCGCTGATAGCTCGCTGCCAGATGTGGGTGTCTGGGTGGACCTCGTTCTATCGCTCCGTGTCTGAGCGTAAAGCCTAGTTCTGCTGCTTGTGGATCTTTTATTGTTATTGCCCGAAAGGACCCATCCCGCTAGCCTGACAAAATGAAGCCTTTGTATTTTTCAGTCAATTATACCTAATACCGATTAGTCGGTTTGGTACAAGGGGCTAAAGCGCTGCCTCGCTCGGAGGACCGTCAGGGACTCTCGCTACATGTAGCTGGATGTGTGGCGGCACATCCTATCGCCTTCCCCACGCCTTCTTTCTCGAGCTTTTTCCAAAATGAAGAAATTCAATTTTCGCAAAGTTCTGGATGGTCTGACCGCCTCTTCGCCCGGTGGCAGCGCTGGCGGTGGTGGGGCTGGCGGAGGCTCCGCGCATCCCGGTGGGACTGCGGGCGCCGCGGGAACTCCTCGGGAGGAGGTCCAGGAAACGCTAACTTCGGATTATTTCCAGATCTGTAAGGTAAGGGCAGGGGATCCCTTCGGGTAGCGGTAAGGAAAGCTGCGTAGCTCAAGGGGTTTGGGGGGGAAGGGGGGGGGGAGAGAGGGAGGGGGGGAGAAATGGGATGCCAGTGAGCTGTTTTACCTGAGAACTGCAGTGATTGTATAAGGACTTTGTACTGAAAGGCAGAGATGTCTGTGGTGGTGGTTGGGTAGCAGTACGTTCATTGAAATCTGGTTTCGGGGGCAAATCCAGAATACACACTTGGTCTCCGAACTAGCAGCAAGATTGTGGACAAAGAGCTAATCAGGTGGTACCAATATAAATAACAATGCCATCAGACATTTAAAATTGTCTATCTGTACTCCCCCTCCTCCCATTGCTCAGGTTAGAAAAGACCTTAAAGATCATCGAGTCCAACCGCAACCTAACCATAGTACCTTCCTCTCCTCCTTCTCCATAAGGAAAAAGGCACAAGCTAGAAACAAAAGATGGCACAGTGATTGCTGAACATAGCACTTTTGTTATTTGCAAGGGGTTGGGTGTGTGTTTAGGGTTTGTTTGTTTGTTTTTTTAGCATTGGTGCTGAGGATTGTGATTTTATGACAGTAAACTTAATGGACCGGCATAAACGTTGAAAGTTTCCAAATTTGTTTGGCATTGGCTTTTACGTATTGGTTAGATCTTTCTGTGGGAATTTTCTCCAAGTAGCAAGCATAAAATATCTCTATGGTTTTTATTTGTTTTTTTTTTTTTTTTTTTTTTTTTTTTTGTTTTTTTTTTCTTTTTAATGTCTGTTTTGTGCAAAGGAGCTCTCAGTGCACGATGAAATCAGTAGAAATGACTTGGTATTTCTGACCAGCTCTGGAGTTCTAAGTAGTACTTTGGTAATGAAGTACAAAAAAAAAAAAAAAAAAAAAAAAAAGACAGATTGTATTTTTATCCTCTAGTCCTATGCTTTTATCTTTAACTTTGACATTAATTGTGTTGACTTTACTAGAAGTCCTGTTTGTGTATCCATTAGGACCTGCAAAAACAGAATTTTTAGCTAGTGCAGTTTATGTTATTACAAGAGCTTCACCTATTAAGTATGCTTTCATTAGTCAGATACCAACTGAGTTAAAATTTAGGTTATAGCCCACTTCAGCACATCCCAGTATTTGAGGAAGAAGGATGAAATATAAGCAAGTAAGGCAAAACTGTAGGAGAGTGTGTGGATCTGTCCCAGTGCAATATACAGCTTTCATAATAGCAGATGTGATGATTTTATTCTGTTCTCAGACACAGTGAGTGTTAAAACTCATACAGAGTTCAGGTGAAGAAAGATGAGCTCCTATCGCTTAGAACAGTCAGAGAGACCTTTTGAATAGGTTCTATACCATGGGGCGTCCTGATTAATTAATTAATTAATCTGCTGTTTAACAGTGCTAATTTATTACAGTTGTGCCTGTTTACACCAGGGCTCAATTTGACACCTTTTGCTTATGTATCCGGTATTACAACAGTTTATGACATTCAAGATATCCAGAACAGTGATTTTCCACTTTGTCCCTTCAGTAGAAAAATGATGTAAATAACCAAGTTACGTTGATATATCTTTAGGTCTGACATTCTGAGAATTCTGAGTAAGGCTAAGACTCAACGTAATTCTTCCTTTGATAATGTCAGGGGATCTGTATTTCATGTGATAGATTTGTGGCATATTTGCCAAAATATACTATACGTCTTTCATAAACAAAATCAATCAATTCTCTTTGTATTTCCCACCTTTAGCTTGATATTTCTTGCGGGCAGTTTTGTTAGGCTTTGACAGATCTGCTTAGAAATGTGGGTGCCTGGGAATACAGCACTTCTAGAAGATTTCAGTGGACAATGTTTGCCTCTCTTTTTTTATTCAGTTTGGAGATGTAGCTGTCAGGTTGAAATGCTTTCAGCAAAGTAAATATTTGTATGGGAGCGCTTTTGGTTGCAGCAGCGCTTGCTTACGAATGCGTGGTACTGCAGAAGTCCACTCTATGGTATACAAAGCATTGGTTTCCTTTTTTCAAGGTACAAAAGCGTCCTAAAAGCAAACTTCCCCAAATAATCTCTGATTATGAGCTCAGGAAATACTGCAAGGTTTAGTCAGCAGGCTCTACTTAATGAGCTGTGTTGCTGTTTAGTAACAGTACAAGCATGTCTGAGTGAACTGACAAAAACTCACAGGCCCCAGTCCTGCATTATGTACTGTGCAAGTGTACCAAAGGCAATGGGACTGAATGCAGGCACATACAGTACTACAGTGTGCGCAGTCTGTGCCGTAATTTGTACCTTAATGGATAGGTATAGGATTAAGAATACTGCAAAAGATACATGTCGTCCAAGCTTTACCTTCCCAAAGCTTTTGTGGCGTAGAACTTCTGATTTTTCAGTTGTCTGTTTTCATGTTAAGTTACATAAGTAATACAGGCTGCAGTTTAAGGATCCAGGATCTGTGATCCTGCTGCACACAAAACTGAGGGAAGCTAGTGGCAGTACTTGTTTGTTATGATCTGCACAATCATGATAGATGGATTCTGCTTGGAGTAACACCCCAAACCAATTTTTTCTTTCTTTCCTGATTATTAAATCTTCATTTAGATAAGTAGTATAAAAGCTGACTCATACATTAACGATGAAAGGGCCTTACACTGCATTCTTTACTTAAATAAATTGCCTTTGTGAAGTTTGTAGGAGGTCTTCTTGACTAAAAACACTGATCTGAATCCTCTAGCAGCAGACTGGTTTTATTGGTAATGTATGTTTTATTAGTAATGCACCTGAAAGCTGTCTCTGTTTTTGACATTTTTTGAGATACTAATTATTATGGTGTCTTTTTAAGATAAAATGAAATCTTTATAGAAGTATGCTGAATATTTCATTTTACACTGAGATGTTCACAATGAGTTACTTTTGCCATTTATGTTTGAATCATTAATGTAATCTTATGTATTGACAGAATATAAATGAAATATTAGTGAAACTATTGCCCGTGAAATACCTGCAGACTTTTTAAAGCGTCATAAACTTGCGTGTTGGTACTTGTAGTAGTGAATCATTGCCATCTTTCTGGAAGTACTCATGTAATATGAAATTTTGGCAGAACTGTATTTTGTGACAACTGGAAGCTGAGGTGTAGGTCATCTTGTATCTAAGGCTTTTCTTGGGTATCCACGTGGTAAAAATACTGATTATGATTCAAATTAATTGAATGTGTGAGATAGGAGAGTCATGCCAAAAACTAGATGCAATCCAATAGAATGTTAGTAAAGTTTGCATTAATTTCAAGGGTGGTGAACTTAGCTTCTTCATTTCTTATTAAGATCTGTTATCAAGGATTTTTTGAGCCGTCCTGTATTTGTTTATGGCTCGTAGAAATCAAAATACGGCAGCAGGAAGAGATCTCATATTAATACAGGAATTGGGATCAATTAGGATGTTGTAAATCATTTAAGTAGAGCTTTGAGAGAAGGGACGTAAATAGTGAAAAGAGTGATTTTTCTTACTTTTGTAGGGGGTGAATTACAATGTGGTACCGAAGGTTGGGCAAAACTGACTAAACATGAAGATGCAGATTTTGAGAACACATGGTGTGTATCTTTATGAAAATGACTCTCCTGTAAGGAACTACTGAGGAGCTGTTCCTCAAAAGCAATCATAGAGTTGAATTTGTAAAGCAAGATGTTATTACTTTTATGCAGAGAGTGCTCGAAACCAAGATCTCCATAACTAGGTAATAAGAGTTGTGCTTGACTAGACCTACAGCCTATTCTCGTGTATTTTCTGTGACTGTTTGCAGCAGCCAGATACTCCAGAAAAGATTCTAGAACCTCTAAGCTGAACTTGTCACTGAATTATTACCCAAACTCTAATGTGGTTGTGACTGCCTTTTAAAGCCAATCAGCATCCGGTCAGTAGCCAAATTTCAAAGACAGCTTCACTTTTTCATTCTGCCACTCGCATTTCACTCCTCTGGGATAATGGCTGTAATAGAGACCCGTCTAGTTTTGATGAGCTTCTCTATTATGTTGCCTTGTGATATTACATAAAGACATTTTATTGAGATATTTCAGTTTATCATGCAAATTTACGAACATTATTTATCTGAATTTCCTACAACAGGGTCTTAAATTTTAATTCATCATTTAATTCATCATTTTAGATATGAATATGAATTTAGATATGAATACTCCATTTTGACAGTCCATGAAGATGAACATCTAGTCCTTTTGGTAGCAGTCAAGTAGATGTTTTAACTGGAGGTGCAGCATGAATATGCATTTCAGTGTCAATAGAAATAAGGTGAATTTCCAAATGGCAGTTTAAGAACAATTGTGCAGTAGCACGCAGCTGTGTTTTTGCTTATAGAGGATAAAAAAAGTTCTTTGTTACAACCTGTATGTAACGTTTCAGTTAGCATGAGCCGTTTGGTTAATCTGTGTTGTCTCATTAAGGTCATTCAGGGCCAAAAAAAATACCTGTGTGAAGCTTTATGTTTCAGAGCAAACCCACTGTAAATTTAGTGTTAAACCTTACTTGTAAGTGCTCAGTTCATTCTGTGGTAAATACAATATGATGTTGAGAAGGATTTTTTCACCCATGCTGTATTTTGGATAGAACATAAAACTTAAACTGTCGATTCCCTGTCACAGAACCACATAATTTTAAGGGTTGGAAAGGAGCTCTGGAGGTCACCTAATCCAGTCCTTGCTAAAGCAGATTCCCAGAGTGGGTTGTGCATGAAAATGTCCAGGCAGGTTTTGAATATCTCCAGAGAAGGAGACTCTGTAGCATCTCTGGGTGTAAGTGCTATAAGTGACGTTTCTGTAATTAGATGTCAGTAATCTTATTACATGTGTGATGATTGTAAAGTATTCTGCTTTTTAAAGTATTTGTAGTTATTTGAAATAGGACTCATCAGCAGTAAAGAGCACAGCATATTGAAAACTTCTTTTTAGGGAAACTTGAAGATATTAAGCTACCTACAGTAGTACACCTGGACA